TAAAAAAAAAAAAAAAAGGTACAAAGGACCTAAAATGAAATTAAAAGGAATTACAATCTGAAATTAATTTTATTAATTTTTTTAAAGAGCTGGGTACTCTCCTGTACAAACAGTATTTTGGTGTAACTAAATAGCTGGTGAAAAGTTTCTCTCTTATGGAAATATCACAGTTGATAAAAGGGAGAAATACAAGAATTAGGATATGACTGGTTTGCAAGCCCACAATTAAATAATGCATGTTGGCAACGACCAGCAGTGGTCACTCTCAGCTAAAAAAAGGAGGGACCACCAGATCTATGTGCTTCTGGATGGATATAAACAACACTGCCTATTAAATATTTTTGTGAAAATACAGAACCTGAATCAGATAAAGTCTTTAGAATATTGGATTACAAGAAATACATAAAAAGAGGAATATTTTAGGTGACACGATGGGGATGAAATCAGAAAAATCTGGAACTATGATCTTGTTTATTCAACAAAGTAACTGTCAGGGGAAAAAAAGAAGGGATCCTGTAGATTAAATGAGGTAAGAGACATAGCCGAATGCAATGTGTGGACCTGGTTTAGATTCAATATCAGGCCAATTTTTTTTTAATTATGAGATAATTGGAAAAATTTGATTGCTGATTGGCTATTTGATATCAAGAAATTTTTAAGGCAAGGTAATGGTATTGCCACTAAAGCATCTTTATCTTTTAGCAATACATACAAAATATTTAGAATTGAAATGATACAATACCTGGAATTTGTTTCAACATAATCCAGTGGGAAGGATTTGTGGACAGTATCAGTAAAAAGTACGTGTGTTGATCATTGTAGCTGGGTGATACCTGGGGATTCATTCTGCATGCCTTTGTGGAGGTTTAAAATATTTCATAATGATTTTTTTTAGAAAGAGGGCTTAGTAGGTTCAGGTTATGTCCGCGAGAAACAAACATCTGGGAAGCTGGAAACATCTGGATGATTGACCATTTTACTGTCATTCAGATGTAAACGGGAGATTTTCCAAAGGGAACACAGAACAAAAGAACAAATAGCTTTAAAACAATCAACTTTCAGGTCTTAATTTCTCAATATACTCTTTCCTGAAATGTATCTGCCCAAGTACAAACCTGCGTGTTGTGTGGGTTTTTTTCTCTCCTAATTCTCCCTTCCTCATTCTACCATAGGATCTTTCTATGTGCATTGTCTTGGGACATAAGTCTCCAACCATGGCAAGAGGGGTGTCCAGTGAAGGGATACTTGGCCAGAGTGATTTCAGGGAGGCCTTCTTGTAACCCAAGTTGCATATGCTCGCCTGGGGCTCATGGTTCTCAGTGTCTCGGGTATTTCTGTAGAGAGTGAAGGGTCGTGTCACAACCAGGGTGTACGGGCCGACGTGGAGATGCTCTGAATTTAGGCATGTTGTGGAGCGGCACAGATGAGAGTAATGTCTAGTTTTTCATCTCCTAACAATCAAAAAATGTTCATCCCTCTTTAGGGAAAGGCCTCTGAGAGGAGAGCAGAGAATGTAGGATGCTTAAAATGGCTCTTTTCCTCACATATTTAAAGATAAGCATTTTTTCAGCTTTTAAAAAAATCCCTAGGACATGTCATCAACTGGAAAGAAAAAAATCTCTGAGTAGGTGAAGCAGTACAGGTTGGTGATGCTGATTACTTTAAATATAACTGGGATCTTTTCTGGGACACCAAATTTTTAAATATTACTGGATAAAACTAGTAGATAAAGATCTTGTGATTTCTTTTTTTCAGATTTTGTATTCGTTATTCAATAAGGTATTTAAATCTTGTTTTTTAATCCAATCACATTATGAAATATTTACTCCAATACAGCCAATCCTCATTTCATTTAATGTTGTAAACATTTAACCATAAGTGAATGTATATGCTGGCTTGCCAAACCAATTAATTTTTACCATAAACAACTTTCTCTTTCATTAAATGCATAGTAAATGTTTGATTTGATGTCCAATGAGATCAATGAAATTGTTTCTGATTTTTATACATGCTTATAATTTAATTATTCCCAAAGTCAAGCATCAGAGTTCTGTGTACATGAGAACATGTTTAACTAAGGAATGTCATTTTTTAAAATCACACTCCTCACCTCACAGATAACTTACACATTTCATTGCATTATTTTTATTACATGAATGTAATTAATTATATCAGCACTGAACCTTTTGACATTTCCCCTGACTACTTTAATAATCTTTCCTAAAATACATATTCTATAATTTATTTTTCAGTAATTTTCACAATATCCCTCAAAACATACATTAATATTTATTCGAACTGAAAGGGTAGATTTATTTGGATAGGAAATAAACCTAATTTTGCTCATTGGTTTGACAATAGGACTGATTTTACCACCTAGGTGAAGATGGTGTACAAGTTGCTGCCAAGTGAAAGAGTAACAGGTGTAATTTAATAGTCATTTATTAAGACGTGCCTTTTCGGTATATTTCTCAGAAACTGAGATAGAGAATAACTCAATAACTGGATGACAAATCATTTCATTACTTGCTTTCAGTAAAATTGAAGACATACGCAGCTAAGTTGTCAGCCAATCAGTCATTAGAAATCACCTTGCGATTTTTCAGTATCTTGGATGACATTGCTATTCTAAAACTCCTTTCATTCACATCTGCTTATTTATACATATGAACCAGATTTCTCAACACTAGCTTCTACAATTTTTTTTAAAAGGAGCAGAAAAAATTGATGCATTCTCATTCTAAAAATAACAACACTCAAAACTGGATACTCAAACTAATTAAGAACAAAACAGCCCCACTTATCTCATTAAGGTGCATTTTCAAAAAATTTACCTTTTGAATTCAGTATATTAACATTCATAATGTATTTATTGCTTTGAGCAATTGTGTACTAAGGATAATTGTGGTAACTCAATACTTAGGATCACATAACATTTAAATATTAATTTCAATTAATATACTAAAATAGTTACCAAGGAGTATAATAAAGTGATCAATAAATGACTTTCAAACATAAAATACATTACAGCAAGGAAAAATTCTATGAAGGAAGTGAAGTGGGAACCAGGAAGGAAAAGGAATGAAGATATCTATTAAAGAAGAGCTTATCTGAGTATTTTTTAAAAGGATCGTACAAGTATTAATTTGCTAGGGCATTTAGAGTATCCACTGACTATACTGAAAAAATTTTATTTTAAAATGTCAATATTTAGGATGGGCTGGAAATTTAATCTTTTGTAACTATTAAAATTGACGTAGAAAACTTCTATAAGAACTTTAAAAATATGTGAATTTGAAGACCACGGAGCCAGACTCCCTGAGTATGTATCTGTTTTTGGCTTTCATCCTAAGTATTTCTTCTTCAGACGACTGTTACTGTCTGTGAACTTGGCATAGTCATTACAGTCAGGTGATAAATCTCGCAGTTAAAGAAGATAATGTGACTCCTTGGGACAACCAGTAACTCAGAAATCAGGAATCTTGTGGCCTTGCACTTTTTGGAAGTCTCTCATGCATTATGCTGGGGAAAAATGAATTAAAATCCCTGAGTAACTTCTCTGTGCTAGTCACTGCCTTAGGCAGATGTCATTATTCTCATTTTACCCGTGTTAAAGCTGAGCCACAGATGGCTTATGACTTGTCTAAGGTGGTAGAGATAAAAAGAGTTAGGGCAGGGAGTGACCGACTCCACAGCCATGGTCTTGCCCAGAGTCCATTTAATTTCTCAATAACTTAAACCTTTAAGGTGAAAAGATCCTCTTTACTGGAAACAATTCGCAGAGTAGACACAAGCAATTGAAGGCTCCCCATGCTGATCTGACACCTGCTAGTGATGCAGTGAGACATGACAGGGCTTCCCCAACCTCACCCTTACTAACCTCAGTAGGAGCTTAGAAAGGCAACTAATGGGTAGAATTTCTCACCACTCTCAACTCAGGTGGAACTGGAGCAGAAGCTGCGAGCCAACATTGCAATCACTGGAGAAGCAGAGGAAAGAATATAGGGATTGCAGCTTTCTTCCAGTTTCTAAGACCGGTGTTGGTGACAGTAGCGATAAGTATTCATTCATCCACTCATTCATTCATTCAATTGCCATTGCCTGCCTACTATACATTAGAAAACGGATTTGATTCATGCTTAATGTTTAGGTAGCACAATCTTGTTAACCTACACAGTGGGTCAACTGTAAACCATGACATGCAGTAACTTTATGAAGAACCAGTGTGGCACGATTTTTGATTTTCCTGTGGGAAGTTTGGATACCACTTGGGGGAGGAATTCTCAGCGATGCTTGGAAAAGATCTGTGCACACGATGGCCCCTACCCGAGGGCATTTTTATAAGTCTTCTGTAATTACTCTATTTGTTTTGGATTCTGAATAATAAAAGACAAGTGAACAAAGTAAAGCATGTATATCAATCTGACTGGAACAGGGATCTACCGAATTAAAGCAGGCACTGCTCCTGTTTTAGGCATGAATGCAGTCTTCATCGTGGTAGCATAGGAATCCCAGTCGGTATCACCTGCTAAAAGTACAATAAAGCAGTTTTAAATGTAACAAACCAGAATATTTTAATCAAATGTTGTTTTAACAATTAAAATAATTTTGCGAGAGAAAAAACCATTTGGATAGTAATTTAATTTTAGAGTCTAGAGGAATAAAGGCCAACTTACAGCGGCCAACAGGAAAGAGGGATAGGTCAACTTAGTTATGCCTGTCCTTGTCATCCTCCTCCCCGCGCTCCTCCCAGGTAGCTCGTGTTAACAACTGTGCCTGTTTCTTTCCACACTTGTATACATGAGTGAAATCACATGCAGATTTATATATACAGATATAAATAGGTAAACGTATTGGGTTTTAGTTCTTGCCATTTTGTTTCACAAAAATGAAGTCACATTACACAAAGGGTCCTTTTCTTATATCTGTCACTGACAGTGTCTTGAAAAACTCTCCCACTCATCCAGCGTAGCTCTCATTCATTCTCTGTAATGACTGTGCAAAATTCTGCAGCATAGATGTCATTTAAAGCTGTGGGAGTGGGTGAGATAACAGGAGAGAAGAAATAGAGACGTCGTCCCAGGACAGGCAGAGGAAGAGGAGCCGGTGAAGGAAGAGGACACACGGGGCTGCGGCATCCTGAAGCCAAAGGGAGAAANGTAGAGATAAAAAGAGTTAGGGCAGGGAGTGACCGACTCCACAGCCATGGTCTTGCCCAGACTCCATTTAATTTCTCAATAACTTAAACCTTTAAGGTGAAAAGATCCTCTTTACTGGAAACAATTCGCAGAGTAGACACAAGCAATTGAAGGCTCCCCATGCTGATCTGACACCTGCTAGTGATGCAGTGAGACATGACAGGGCTTCCCCAACCTCACCCTTACTAACCTCAGTAGGAGCTTAGAAAGGCAACTAATGGGTAGAATTTCTCACCACTCTCAACTCAGGTGGAACTGGAGCAGAAGCTGCGAGCCAACATTGCAATCACTGGAGAAGCAGAGGAAAGAATATAGGGATTGCAGCTTTCTTCCAGCTTCTAAGACCGGTGTTGGTGACAGTAGCGATACGTATTCATTCATCCACTCATTCATTCATTCAATTGCCATTGCCTGCCTACTATACATTAGAAAACGGATTTGATTCATGCTTAATGTTTAGGTAGCACAATCTTGTTAACCTACACAGTGGGTCAACTGTAAACCATGACATGCAGTAACTTTATGAAGAACCAGTGTGGCACGATTTTTGATTTTCCTGTGGGAAGTTTGGATACCACTTGGGGGAGGAATTCTCAGCGATGCTTGGAAAAGATCTGTGCACACGATGGCCCCTACCCGAGGGCATTTTTATAAGTCTTCTGTAATTACTCTATTTGTTTTGGATTCTGAATAATAAAAGACAAGTGAACAAAGTAAAGCATGTATATCAATCTGACTGGAACAGGGATCTACCGAATTAAAGCAGGCACTGCTCCTGTTTTAGGCATGAATGCAGTCTTCATCGTGGTAGCATAGGAATCCCAGTCGGTATCACCTGCTAAAAGTACAATAAAGCAGTTTTAAATGTAACAAACCAGAATATTTTAATCAAATGTTGTTTTAACAATTAAAATAATTTTGCGAGAGAAAAAACCATTTGGATAGTAATTTAATTTTAGAGTCTAGAGGAATAAAGGCCAACTTACAGCGGCCAACAGGAAAGAGGGATAGGTCAACTTAGTTATGCCTGTCCTTGTCATCCTCCTCCCCGCGCTCCTCCCAGGTAGCTCGTGTTAACAACTGTGCCTGTTTCTTTCCACACTTGTATACATGAGTGAAATCACATGCAGATTTATATATACAGATATAAATAGGTAAACGTATTGGGTTTTAGTTCTTGCCATTTTGTTTCACAAAAATGAAGTCACATTACACAAAGGGTCCTTTTCTTATATCTGTCACTGACAGTGTCTTGAAAAACTCTCCCACTCATCCAGCGTAGCTCTCATTCATTCTCTGTAATGACTGTGCAAAATTCTGCAGCATAGATGTCATTTAAAGCTGTGGGAGTGGGTGAGATAACAAGAGAGAAGAAATAGAGACGTCGTCCCAGGACAGGCAGAGGAGGAGGAGCCGGTGAAGGAAGAGGACACACGGGGCTGCGGCATCCTGAAGCCAAAGGGAGAAAGGGAGAGAAGAAATAGAGACGTCGTCCCAGGACAGGCAGAGGAAGAGGAGCCGGTGAAGGAAGAGGACACACGGGGCTGCGGCATCCTGAAGCCAAAGGGAGAAAGTGCTTCTGAGCAGGAAGGGATCACCTGTGCAAATACTGTGGACGGTTCCAGGAGGATGCAGACTGAGAACTCGCCCTTAGGAAGACACTAGCCACAGCACAGTTTATCTGCCCCAACAAAGTACCACCAAATTTCATAAGAATACACATTTTAAATGTAAAATTCAGTCATTCTCTTTCTTCTCATCTGGGAAGCTACCTGTTGCTTTTTCCATTTCATGAGAACCTGGGTTGAAATGTCTGTAATCTTTGAACCGATGGTGCTGTATCTAGGATCTATCACCTTATCCCAGAATATTGCAGCTACCTCATTGCCTGTATTTGTTCCCACTCATGTACTGTTACAATTGCTATAAAGTATCTTTCTTCAACCACCCAATATTCTTAAAAGCCACATGCCCCTGCCTAGCATAAAGAGCCCAGCCAAACACTCATGGTTTCTGTCACCTGTGACCTTAACGTTCATCTCCCTGTCTCTCCCAACCAGGTCGTATTTTTAACTTAACAGGTCCTCAGATCCAGGCAGCTGGACCTGCTCATCTGTGAGTATCACCTGCTGCCTTCCCACTGACTCACGTTCCACTTTCACCTAGAGGCCACCCCAGTCAGGGAACTGGAGCCTCGGTCCCTACAAGTTCCACTCCGGACTTTGCCTACACACACTCCTAGTGTCTGCTCTCTAATCCCACCTGGCTAGAAATGACATTAACCTCTGATACTCCCGCTTTAGTGGGAATCACTTTATGCTCGAAAGCATTTTATTCCAATAGCCAATTAAACGATCTTTCTTAAAAGAATTCCAAGTGTGGAAAGAGAAAAGGGAAGAACTTGGAAAGCATGCTGCCCTTAAAAGAAGCCTTCCTTAACCTGATTGGGATTTCCGAGTTGCAC